ACTATATAGTTACTTTATAGTTACTTTATAGCTAATTACAAGTAGCATTAAAGTTGCAAATTTGCAAGTTTCAGTAAAGGATATGACAAACAAGATATTGTGTTCTCCTTCAATATCCATTTTATAATCATATGTGTATTCAAGCTCTTCGAATTTTATGACATTTTCTTTTATTTGCGTATCATTTCGATCATCACATTTTCGTTTTTTGTTTTCATTTACACAGTTTGTACACTCAAAACATGATTTATTATTAATTTAAAATGCAATATTTAGTTTCGTAATTCAACAAGATGAACAAAATTTTGTAAGATGTGTATGTTCCATTTCAGAAAATACTATGTATTCAAAGAAATAAAAAAAAAAATTATTATTAATATATTATCATTATTAATCAAATAAATTTAAGCTCAGTATATATGTAAATGATTTTGGTGGCGATACCAGGTGTGTCTCTTTAATACCAATATTTAGCTTTATGTAAATAAACTTGAATAAGATGTTGCCTGGATTAACGCATGATCGTGAAATCGGATGATGAAATTTGGATCTATTTTATGTACGATTTTTAGGGTCTTTTTTGTCGGCTTTTTTTTATAGTTAAGATTTAACAAAAAAATTTATAGTGGGTCTTTGTCGCTTCTGGCTGAATTAAAAATTCAATTTATTTAGGGTTAGAGTTGCTAGTAAAAGAGTATAGGTAGATTTTTTGTAGGACTTATATTTTCAAATCGAGACCCCTAAATTTCACCATTATACGATTTCATGATCATCCGCGGCAATAAATAGTTTTTATCATAACGAATTTTAGTAAATAATCATTTATAACTTAATAAATTTCTTAAATTTATTTGTGAATTTGGATAGCTTATTTTAAATACTGTACTTATATTATTGCGCTTTTCAAATTAATATATATCATATACCACACGGGAAGGGAATTTTGGCAAGTTCATGATTGGCTAAATTTGAGCGAAGATATCTCTAATGGTCTGGTTATTAATTTGTAGAATTCAAAAATAATCATGAACAAAAAATAACGGATATTAGATTCTTTTTTCAAACTTTAAGTAGGAAAATATAAAAATCAAAACAAAAGCGTTGGGCTGTATTAGGAAGTGAGTGTAGTGTTGGAGAAAAAAGGGCAGAAATTATTGAGATCCAAAAGTCGTTAAATATGTGTGTTTTATAGGATAATATTGACAATTTTATGCATTTATTGGTCAATGATATATGGCTCCAGTGAAAAAGTCGGTTTAGTAGGATTTTCACTGAAATCATAAGAACATTGGGAAATTTAAATGTTCATTGGAGCTAGCTTCCAGTTAACAGCTAGATCAAAGAATAATATTACTAAAATTCATCTTTTATTCAATATAAACTCAAGAAATAATATTACTAAAATTTACCTTTTATTCAATATAAACTTATATAAAATAAACGCATGAATTGTTTCATCGTTAAGCCTGCATTAAATCACAAAAAATAAAACCAAATAATGCCCAATGATACTTAAAGTATGAATAATCGTACAAAAAAAATCTTATGAAAAAATTGTATATATAAAAACTTTTTTTTAAAAAAAAAAAAATCAAGAATCATCAGGAACATCTAGAAATTCAATCTTCTTGCTGAGTAAAGTCATTTCAGATAACTTTTCTGTAATTTCACACGTGTTGATGAACTTGCTTCCACCTTTGAACATATTCTCATAGTACGAATCTTCGATATTCTCAAGTACTGTTTTGGACTTATCCAGTTCTAACAAAACACTTTCATCACTTTGCCATTTCTCAAAAATTTCACAAAGATCCTCTGCCGATGGACGTTTCTCAGGATATTTATCCCAACATTTTCTCATAAGTTTTACGTAACATTGTGGAGCTTCTTTATTAACAACGGGTCTTAAATCATAACAACACACAGAAAAACAAAATTGTGGCATGGCAAGTTTTTGATTGTAAGATACAGATTTTCCATATAAAATTTCCCACATGATTATACCAAATGAATAAATATCAGATGCTTTAGTATATGATTGGTTGTTCAAAACTTCAGGAGAAATATACGGTAAGATTCCAAAAACTCCATCAGAAACACCATCAGGATTTGATTTTAATGCAATATTAGCAGTTATTGAAAGTCCTAAATCAGCAATGTAAGCACTTTTTAAGCTATTTAGTAGTATATTTCCACTATGTAAATCCCGATGAATAAGATCATGAGAATGAATTATCTTCAGATCTGATGCAATACATTGTAGCAGATTTAATTTATCTTTCCAATCCA